CAGGCGGTCCATGATGAGCGGCTGAACGCGAGAGTCGATCAGATGCTAGAGGATGGTTTAATACGGGAACTACTGGATTTTCACGACAAGCACAATAAGCAACGCGTAAGGGATGGAAAGTAAGAGAGTTTCATATTTTTTAATGATTATTATGATATTTTTATAACAAACCTTTTAGTAGCAGTAGAACTCCTTTTGAAAAAGTTCGTCCTGGGAGTACTGCAACTTTACTTATTACTGCGGCCAAGGTTTTGAAGTGCAAAATTACAAGCACATGGGACTTGTCAACTTAAGTCCTAGTGTGGCGGGTACAGTGCCAACACCTCCCAGATCTTTGCTATTTAAAAATCTGAGTGTTATGGATAGGCGTAAAATTAGATAGGCGAAAAAAACTTTCAGATATATTTCGGTGAGTATGCCCATGAGCTCCATCAGCTCATCCCACCTGCCCCCTTTTACCATTGGACATCCAGACGTACAGCGGGATATCATCCTTCATCATCTTATTTAAGAGCCACACTCTTGTCATTGTAGCCTTCTCACGATTCATAGCCAGTTCTTTGACATCTCTATAGCTGTTCACTTTGATCTCCTTTTTATTTGTTCACAATACGCCATTCTTGGTCTTCCTCTTTTTCTTTTCCTTTCTATCATCCTTAATTGGTCGATATTCCCTTCAGGCGTACTAAGCGCTTTTCATCATCTTTTATAATGCGCACAGCCCAAGAATGGAATTCCCTGCCTACGACTGTGTTTCCGAGCACATACAGCTCGAGTATCTGTAAAGTGCTACTGAATAGGCATCTTCTGGGCGAGCTTGTTCCATTGTAGATCCTATCTTTGCTCCAGAACTAGGTAGTCTAGAGCATGCCCATTTGTGCTTGTTGCAGATCTGTATTTATTTACTTATTTCCTTAACAAAATATATTGTGTTGAAAAAAAATACAACTACCTTTAAAAACTTACATCAAATACAAAATAATAAGAGACCGAACATAATTTAATGTAACAAATATTTATTTATTTAAATAACAAATATTAATTTAATAAAACAAAAATTTATATTAACAAGTCATTAATGCAAAATAATGATGATAATAATAATACAATAATAATAACAATGTCAAAGTAGATATCTTTATCACGTATAAATTAAAGTCAAAAGCCTCCAACAACAAATTCATCAATGCAATAAAATGATTTATCCAACTGGAAATGTTTCAAACCCTTTTTGAATGATATAAGATCCTGTGCTATTTTAAATTCAGCAGGGAGACCATTAAATTTTTTTGTTGTTTGGTATCTTGGACTATGTTAAACAATATTAGACTTCAGTGCTATTACATCATGTCTGTACTTCCTCCTAGTAACAAGCCTATTTGACTTGGTCTCCTTACTAAATTCAGTCACGTTAACAACTCCAAAATATAGAGACAAGGAACTATTAATAATAGTTAGTTATCTAAAGTAAGGTGTACAGGACTCCCAGGACAGAATTGTAACTATGGGTCTTATTGCTCTTTTCTGTAGGGCGAAAGCTTTTTTTACGTTATAGTCGTAGGTAGCTATTACCCCAAAACCTAATACTATATCTTAAATGTGACTCGACTAAAGCATGAGTACCATTTTGAAGTCAGTGATAGAGGCTTCATCCTGCAGGTTTCAAACAGCTTTTTTGTTGTATTTTTAAGTGAATGTAATGTTACTTTTTTAAAGTAAGGCCAATATAAAAGTTTCCAATAAAATTAACATTGTTACACGTCACAGTGCATTAATGATTTTTTAAATAAATAATAGACACACGCTTAGCCACAATCTTTCCTGATGTTAAGCGACGATGTGACCGACAATGGTGCGCGTGTGCCTAAAAAATGCCTATTCACTCTAGCCTTGAATAGTTCCGAATTGTACTTTTCGGGAAACATAGATGTACGCATCAGAAAGGAGGAAGCAAAGTACTTAGTGCGAAGGGGGTGGTATATCAACGACATACAGATGGAGTATTCCGGACCTTCTAGTCGACCGAAGGAGGAACGGTGAGGGTGGAACTAAATTGAAAAGTTCCTCCGCACACTTCCTTTTCCAATTATCAAATTCTTAGGTTTTGGTGCTTGTTACACGTAGGAAATGAAACAATTTTTTCTTCGCCGCCGAATCAGCCGTGATCATAGGATCTGTAAAGGACCCGAAACGTTGGTTTGTTTGAAAAAACAAATATATGCGATTTAATTCCGAAAAATTGTAACATTACATAACATTAACACGAAGAATAAAAATAAACTGACTCTCCTTGACAGTCGTCTTCACAAAGTCACAAATCCATTTAAGGGTCAATGTACTCTTCTGTAATAAGATTCCGGTTGATATTTAAAATTTACAATTTACGAGGCTTAAAACTATAGTGAAACAAAAACTTTACACTTAAGATTATTACCGCTTCTGCGTATTTGAATGACAAAAATCCTTGATAGTGACCGGATTAGCTCTTTTTTGTTCTGATTTATGTTTGAAATAAATACCCCTAAAGTTGCTTCGGCCACCAATCAGTCGATGTCTTGCTCCATCTGTCATCACCTTGCCTTGGGTACCTACCCACCTAACTCAAATGGGGCTGGGCGGGACACCTGTCCCGCCCAGCCCCATTTGAGTTCCATGATCCGAGTTCCAGCATCCTGGACTTTCGATCGTTGTCGGGTCTCAACGACTGATTGATGGCCGAGGATGGGCAAAGGAAGCGTCAGGCGCCCTTTTTTTTAACCCGGTAAAATGCATTACGCATACCACCGCGCCTGGGGAAGCGCAGGGTTATGTGGGACTCTCCTCCAGAAGGGAAGCCTACCCACTAAAACTCCGGGATGGTTCCATCTAGCCGCTTAGTGGGGGTTATGATACCGGTTGCCCATTACCCACGACCCCCAAAGAGCGGACGTCCGCGACAGTTGTTTGGCGCGCGAACCCTCACGGGTGGCCCTTGCCTCTTGTGCACCTGGGAGCTGCTTCCTGGAATACGTGGAAGTCGTCCTACCCTCTTGGGACTGGATGTTACGGGCGACGAGTAATCCCCGACTCGTCACCCGAGTCCCATTACGGCGCTAAAAGGCGCATTTCCGCGTGGCGCCTCCGCCCTGTCCTCTTCCGCTGGCGCGGATCACCGAAGATGTCATCCTCTCTGATCCGCTCCGCCGTCTCCTTCCGTGCTATGACCACCTCACAGAAGGAGCTCACCACTTCTCACGATCTCTGGTTCCCGACCATAGACTTAACTACAGCCGGTAACGAGAGATCGTGCCCCACCACGGCGACCATTGCCGCCCGATTCTCTGCTTACTCTGGGCATTCCGCCAACGTGTGCTGCGCCGTATCTTCGGCGCAGTCACACTGGTGGCAGACAGGGGTCGGCTCTCTCCCAGCGACCTTGTACAGGTACCTCGTTAAGGTGTCAGTACTTCCCTGGACGAACTCGTTCACAAGGAGCTCTACTGCTACAATTTTTTTATCTAGATTAAAGGGTAATTCAGATGACAAGCGTTAGAACTTTACTCTCTCGGAATCGCAGCCTTAAACCGGTCAGGAAAACATTTTCAGACCCGGTCAAGCCGTTTCCGCGTTAATAAGTGCGGTGACCCCTTAAACGCCTCTAAAGCGTTGTTATCTGAACCGACCCTTACAGTCTTTATTACCTCGATACAAACCTGACATAGATAACTAGCACTAAAAGTATTAGTACCACGTGTAAAATATAAGACACAAGTTCCTTGACCAAGTTACGGTATGTAAGGCAATCGTACCTTATCATAGAGATCATCGTCGGGAAATTATTGGAAAGAACGTATACTCATTATTTACACATTATTGTGTATACCTTGTCCCAGGTTCGTGAAATTCTAATTTTTTAATAAATAACAATTTATTGAAGAAAAGGTTGTAAAGCGAGTAAAAAGTGAGGGCACTTTTGCACTATTGTTTGCAATGGCACTTTTATTTTACAATTATACTATTATCCATAATTATACACGCCTGTGTCGTGTACTGTGTTCCGTGCCAACGCCTGTGTCGTGTACTGTGTTCCGTGCAATGGGTTCCCTGTTGCCGGAACCACTGAAAAAGCATCGCCGCACATGCAATGAAACGACACCAAGCTGAGTGGATGACGGATTCCGTAGCAGCACAGCATGCACATTGCTCATGTTATGACGAATCGTTTGATTATTTATTGTTACCGGTATTTGCTTCCTGTTTGTGTGTTATTTGTGTGTATTATGTAATTTTTGTTTTTTGTCCCCCTTTGTTATTTCGGTTTGTTTACATGTTATAATCATGTTTCGTAATTGTTAAATGTATGTGTGCTGTGTTGTTTCTTCATAGAATAAATATTTCTCTCTCTCTCTCTCTCTCTCTCTCTCTCTCTCTCTCTCTCTCTTTCTCTCTTTCTTTCTTTCACTGATCCTACATCGGTGCGCTGATTTAAGCATCTTTACTAAGTGCTACACAAATAGTGGATACGTAAGTGCGGCACCGACCGTACATGTACAAGCTGTTGTGATGTACAGTATATCAAAACTATTAACATTGTACATATAATTCGTGAATTCCCATTGAAACCACCATAACCTATTCTAAGTTCCGGACTTGTATTAATAGGAGTATGATGGATCGCCGTTTCACATAAACTAAACATGGGTCTGTGTAATAATATGCGGTTGTCTTCTGCTAAGTGAGATGGGGTCGAAGGGAAGATTTATATGACGACGTAACACACATTCCAGTATATGTAACTGCCTCATTTTTTCGAACCCCGGTTTCAGTATATAGCTTAGCAGTGGAATAGTCGCTTGGCTTAAATATAATGGTCTTCAACACCGCTCTTTGCGCACGTTCAAATGGCAGTAGGTAAGTCTTACAGGCGCCGCCGCTGCCCCAAATTCGGATACAATAACATATTATTGATTCGCACAAAATGCGAAAGAAACTACACCAAAAGAAGCGTCTGGGACTTTTTATTTTTATTATATAATACCAAGTGACGGGACGAACAAGTTGCAGTGCCACTCAGAGCTATAAATCGCAAAGATATTGGGGTCACTGCCACTGCGCCCGTCACCCTGAGACATAAGTTAAC